TTATTATGAACTGTGCCTTTAAGTAGGGCTCTGGAGCCTGCTTTCATACACACACACACATTCATACACGTACACATAGAAATATACATATACTTACACATACGAATGCACACGCACGTCACGTACACAAAAAGGATAAAATTTTGGCGGTAAACAACCCGTTTTGGTATGCGCCTTGCGTTCGACTTCCATTCAGAATCGTAGTGGCGTATTCTAGGCGTATTTAGAAGACTCGACAACTCGCGAAGGCTAGCCGATGTGCGATCTGTGTTTTCCTCCTCCCAGGCGAGTACGGTACCAACTAAACGACCCCGGAGTGATGGAAGGCTTGGTTGGCTGAGGCGGCGAGATTTGAACCGGTGTCTATGTGTGTGATAGTGCGCTACTTAAAACAACAGCACCCACGCTTACATATATACGCATACAAATAGACATGCACAAACATACACCCACGCGCATGCACAGATGAATGTACATCCACACTGGCCCTAGGAACCACTCACCAGCATATGATCCACCGAACACTATCCATTTGCGGGGTTTATCCGTTTCCGCATCGACGGTTTGAATGAAATTTGCCACATCGTAGAGCATTTGTAACGATGAGAGGTAGGTTGTGTAGGCTTCCTCTGATTTATCCTCATCGTACAAGCTGCAAATACTTTGAGAATGTGGTGGAACACTGAGATTGATTATGGGGTAGATTCTTACTGGAGTAAGTCGCTGTCTCCATAGTATCTGTGTTCAAGAAGGTAGACGGTTGCTCCAAATTCCTTCGCCCATGTTAGATAGGTCAGATTCTCATTAAGTACCCATGAAGGATCTCTTGGTGATTCACCGCCAATCATTAGGAACATTGGACCGTTCGGTTTCGCCCATTGTTCATTTTTGTAGAATTTCTGTAACATATAATGATTGGGTTCCGCCTATACTGCTCTTTACAATTTCAGACTCTTGAATTCAGCTGTTCAGCAAGTGTCGATCCCACAAATGGACAACCCATATGCGAACCAATTGCTACCACTTCTCAGGGTGGAAATAAGGGGAATAAATTAAGCAGTTGCCCTTTTCTGGGCCATACCCTTTGGGCTCGGTCTAATAGGGTAGCTATTACTAGGCAATTTACGGTTTTGTATGAGATGAGTCTCTAGAAATGAAATCTGTTCTACCGGAGGTAAGAGACAACGCCTAAGTCTGGCCCCAATCTACACAATTTCCTACATGCCTTATTTCAGTAATCTGAAGTCTGGATATCATATTTGCCTATGTAATTTTATCAGTTTCCGGGTATAATAGTTTATTATGTATGTCATACAGTCAGCGAAACTACCTGATCAAATGTGTTGGGATTTTTATTGTCGAAGTGGTCTACGGGTTGGGTGAAGTATCCGGCTTCGTATTCTTCTGGCATATCTGGGAGCTAAAAATTAAAAATTTATATTCAAAAATAGATCTGTAAAGCATTATTTACCTTTTTTATGAAGGCATGGCTAAAGCGATGAGCTCAAAACCAATAGAAAGAACGTGAAAAGCATGAAAGTAAATAGTGCTGTCGTAATGCAAGTAGATGGAGGTTAGAGATGTTACGGAAGCTAAGCCAGAATGTGATGGCACATTCTCCATCAAGAGGTTTCAAAAGTATTTCAATTGATTCCGTTGTCCAGAAGACTAAAAAAATTTGCACCGACGTTTACTAACCAGGGAGGGGTAGTCTACTTACCGTGGGACTTTGAATGGAAACCCAGATAAATCGATAGAGTTTTGAATGCTATTTA